AAAAAATGAGGAATTTCAAATAGTTAATTTGATACTAATATCGATATATTTTTGTCAAATTTTTATGATATCGTCAAACATATATTTTATTCAAAAATAAAAACATCATCGCTTTCTCAAAAATTAAAAACACGATGTATCTCGATGCATTGCACGAGTACTCTTCTAGTATATATATATATATAATATAACGATTTGATTTCATTAACGGGATTGAATGAAAAAATCAGTTCTCTTTTCTCATAGGAAATTTTTAACTTGACGTTCTTCTCTATTTTAAAGAACAGTACAAAAAATATGTCGAAGCAAAAATAAAGAAGAAAATCTAAATTTCTCTATTTTAAAAAATTTGTCGGAAATTAGATATAATAATGAATTTTAGAAAAATTCATTGAAAAAGATTTTTATTCTTCTCCGACAAAAGTTCAAATAAAAAAAATTACTTAAGGGTTGTTTTGTTTACCTCTTAATAAAGAGACAACCTTTGAATTGTTACGAGGTGAATTTTGTTTGACAAAAAAAAAGTTTGTCTCTTAACGATTCTAAAGCTATTTGAATGACTTTGTATCATGGGATTCCCTTAACCATTCAGCACCTTAATTTCGTTGTAAATAATTACCAAACAATTATATTTCATTTTGTACTATATCGTGAAAGCCTCTTAATCATTCTGACAACTTAATCATTCTGCACTAGTTGGCAGTTGTTGAATGGTTTGGTGCAAAATGGTTTGGTGTTCAGAATGATTAAGAGGCTCGTATGATATAGTACAAAATAAAGTATAATTGTTCGGTAATTGTTTACAATAGAATCAACACGCTGAATAATTAAGGGAGGCACAAGATACAAAATCATTCAGAGGGTTTTAGAACAATTAAGAAACAAATTTTTTTTTGTCAAACAAGATTTACCTCTTAAATATTCAAAGACCGTCTCTTATTGGAACTATTAGGAGATAAACAAACAACTTTTAACACATTCAACAACTGCCAAACAACCCCTTAATAGCATTTCCAACAACTATTGAAAGTTTTGTTGTTTGACAGTTACTGAATGATTAAGTGGTCAGAATGATTAAGATGCTCTCACAATATAATGCAAAATGAAATATTATTGTTTTGGTAATTGTTTACAATGAAATTATGACGTTTAATGGTTAAGAGAGACTGAAGATAAAAAAAAATCATTCAGAGAGTTTTAAAACTATTAAGAGACAGACTTTTTTTTGCCAAACAAGATTCACTCACCTCTTAATGATTCAGAGACTGCCACTTAATTAAATTATTAATTGATAAACAAACAACCTCTTATTCTCTAATAATTATGCTATTTATATATTAAAATAGAAAAAAAAAACATGGAAATATCTAAATTTAGAAAAAGAAATTCACAAAACTCTATATAATAAATAATTAAATTATTTTCCATCAATAAAATATGTTAAAAAAATAATATTTTAGATATTTATTAACATAACTAATATTAATATTACTAAAATAGAATAATTATTAATATTATATATTACTATTTTAAGAAAATTACCATTTAATAATATATATATATATATATATATATATATATATGGACCTAATCAAATGAGAACTAATTAGTTTGTGGTAACTGTGAGATCCAATTTCAACCACAAATCAATGGATAAATTAGGAAATTAATAATTATGGTAGTTTGAGTTAAAATTATAATTAAAGGGCATATTAGGTATTTTTTAAAAACTTCTCTCTCCTCTCTCCTTCCTCCAATCTCCGGTGAAATCGGTATCACAGTATATCACAATGGGTATCACATTGTGTATTACAATGGGTATCACATTGTGTATCTTTGTTTTTAAGGTTTGAGTTGGTATCATAGTTGATATCACAATGGTATTATAATATATCACAATGGGTATCACATTGTATATCTTTGTGATTACTTGGTACCTGCCGAATTAATGTTCATTGGAGGCTGAAGATTGGAGATCGGAGAGAGGAGAGAAGAGTTTTTTAAAAATACTTAAAAAACTCTCTAATTATAATTTTAACTCAAACTTCCATAATTATCAATTTCCTAATTTATCTGTTGATTTGTGGTTGAAATTGGATCTCACAGTTATCACAAACTAATCAGTTCTTCCTTGAATGGACCCCTCTATATATATATATATATATATATATATATATATAGTGTTGGATTACCTGCAACAATCAAACTCACATTCATCCTCCCTCCTGTATCCAAGACATAATCCAAAGTTTTAAACGTGGAGTTTGTATGCGTGGCCGGTGATTTCGTTCTTTTCTTTATATAATATATACATACATATATGTGTATGTATATATATATATATATATCTGGCGCCCCATATTTCTTTCATATCCACCATAGTCATTTTTTTCCATTTTCTCTCTGAAGTCTGACTATTGATCCACCACAATAAACCCCACTTCGATTTTGTTCTGAAGAATCTAGAATTGAGATGCCATTAGCAAGCGAAATCATGGGGTGTTCTATGATGCAAAAATCATCATTTCTTCCATTAAATGATCTTAAAGATACCCATAAGAATCGAGGTCAGTTTTGTGTTAATCCTGTTTTGGTTCCGCTTGATAATAGGAGGTCGAGGTCGAGATCGAGTAGGTTGAAGAAAGGTGTTAGGACGACGACTCCGATGGTGGTGGTGGCGGCAATCAGTGAAGATTTGGTGAAAATTGTGCGAGTTGAAAAACCGGTTACGTTCAAGGTGAGAGCTGTGTTGACTGTTAGGAATAAGAACAAGGAAGATTTGAAGGAGACAATTGTAAGGAAACTAGATGCTTTTACTGATCAGATCGGGAGAAATGTTGTTTTGGAGCTTTATAGCAACATTATTGATCCAAGTAAGCCACACTAACTGTTTGATGAAATGCCTCTGTTGATTTTGTCATTAAATCATTACCAGAAATAGATAAAAAAAAAATCGTTATTTCAATTTGGTTTTTTATGCTTCTCCATGAAATGAATTGGGTTTTATCATCTCTTGCTAAATTTCAATTTTGTTGATTTGAATTTGAAGAAACAAGAGCTCCAAAGAAAAGCAAAGAAGCTGTTCTAAAGGATTGGTCGAAGAAATCAAATCTGAAAACAGAAAGGGTTAATTACATAGCTGATATCTTGGTGGATTCTGAATTTGGTACCCCTGGAGCAATCACCATCACTAATAAGCACCAGAAAGAGTTCTTTTTGGAGAGCATCACCATTGAAGGATTTGCATGTGGTCCTGTTCATTTCCCTTGTAATTCTTGGGTTCAATCTTCCAAAGATCATCCTGAACCCAGAATTTTCTTCTCTAATCAGGTAATTAATTAGTTAATCCCCATTTTTAATCAGAAAATTAATAGAAATAACCAGTTTTAGGCTTTTGATTCGTTTCTTAACGATTTCCCTTCCAAAAATGTCACTATCTCCATAAATGTCAACTTTTCAACTTATGGAGTGTTCAAAGTGTTTTTAAATTTATGAATATGGTCAATAAGTGCAGCGAACAAATCTGTAAATTAGTCCCGACGGACCCTTTTATCTAATTACTGATTTGGTTTTACACTTACGGATCTGTTCAAAACTTTTCCTTTTCTTTTTACATTGTGACCCTCCAACAAATTGAGGAAGTGCCATTGGTAGTTATATTTTTTAAATTTGGGAGAGAAATAGTTAGAATTTAAAACCTGAAAATGAATATTTTAATTACTTTCCCTTTTTAATCATCTTAAAACCGACGACTTTTTCTAGACAGGTTTCTGGTCAAATCTTGAATATATTCTTTGTTGGTATTCACCCAGAAATCCATCGCCTAACAGTCCAAAACTGAATCAAGAAAAATCAAAAATTCAAACTTTGAAAGTCAAACCTCAATTTCTATCAAGTCTTTTTTGCTGTCAATGACGTGTTGTAACAAGATTCAATTGAAATACTTTTTTACAAAATTCATAAAAAGTAAAAAAATTTCATACTTGCAGCCGTATCTGCCCGATGAGACTCCAGCTGGGTTGAAGTCTTTAAGAGAGAAAGAGCTTAGAATATTAAGGGGTGATGGCAAAGGAATCAGGAAGTTGTCTGATAGAATCTATGATTATGATGTTTATAACGATTTGGGTAATCCCGATAGAGGAAATGACTTCGTTCGGCCTTCACTTGGAGGTGATAAAATCCCGTATCCAAGGAGATGTCGAACTGGACGTGTACCTAGCGATACAGGTATATATACAAATACATACATTGGGGAAGGTTCAAGCGAGAACCGGATAAGAAACCTGGGAACTAAACTATTCATGTATTATTCATAATGAATACAAGAAAACTATTCATGATGATAATACATGATGGGAACCAACTATTCATGTATTATTCATAATGAATACAAGAAAACTATTCATGATGATAATACATGATATTCATGATGAATATGCATGATATCATGAATAATGGAAATGCATGATTTGTTATTCATTTGATATGCTTCTATGATTTTGTGTGTGTGTAGATACTTATATAGTTTCTTTCTCTTGTGTTACTTAAAGATATATCAGCCGAGAGTCGGGTGGAGAAGCCATTGCCAATGTATGTTCCAAGAGACGAACAATTTGAGGAGTCAAAAGCGAATGCATTTTCAACAGGGCGGCTAAGGGCGGTGCTACATAATCTATTGCCGTCAATGGTGGCCAGCATTTCTAAGAAACACGATTTCAAGGGGTTCTCACAGATCGATAGTCTTTACAGTGAAGGGGTCCTTCTGAAACTAGGCCTTCAAGATGATCTCGTGAAGAAGCTTCCATTGCCCAATTTGGTCACCAGGTTGCATGAATCTAGCCAAGGTGGTGGCCTTCTCAAATATGACACCCCAAAGATTCTATCCAGTAAGTCTTAGATTATGCCATATTATCTCAAATATAATGCAAAAGTAAGAAATTCGGTTTTAAGAACGCCAAATGTGTCTAAAAGGCTGGTTGGTTGGTTTTCTGTTAAGGGTCAGTTTGTTAGTAGCTTAATGAGCATAATGGGACCAAGATCTTATTTGGTCAGCTATACATGTCTTTTTGGTAGTGGCTTAATGATATAGAAAATGACGTATTCAGTAAGCTTTTGGGGGTGGGGGGGGCCTTTATGCAGAAAGCAAAGTTTTTTAAAAACATGCCCCTCCCAAATGAAAACACGCCCCTCCCAAATGAAAACACGCTTATGTCTATTAAAAACCCTTTCAAACAAAAATTTCTCAATCTATACAGACAGATAAATCCACACTGACACCTTTATGCATACAAAACTTGATGGAAAGGTTGTTTGGTTGGTTTTCCATTAAGTCATGTGTGGATAAAGCTGACTCTGTAGATTGATCTATCTGTATGAACTGGGAGGTTTTTCCATAGATAGAATAAACGTGTTTTTTAATTGGGAGAGGCAGGTTTGGGAAAGAAAAAAAACTTCTCAATCTACATAAACTTCCCCTCTAGAAGCTTATCAAGCAAGTCACTTTCTATATCATTAAGCCACTACCAAACAGTCATTTATGGCTAACCAAGTAAGTTGTGTATCCTATTAAGCTCATTAAGTTGTTAACAAACACACCCTAAATGTCCTAGACTTGCTTAATAGGACTTAAGTTTATATAACCAAACAATTGTGTGTCCTTTGTAAACGTCCTATTAGTCTTTTTATATAACATTAGTTGAAAAAAAAGGGACAAGTATCCAATAAAAAAAATATGACACTTTATTTCAGAAGTGTCCTAATTGATACGCCCAAAAGCGTCTTATCAATGTATTGTATCAATTTTTTACAGAGTACGTATGATTGTTTGGTTATATAAACTTCAGTTCTATAAAGCAATCTATCAGGATTTTTAGACATATTTGACGTCATATAAAACCGATTTTGTCGTAGTGATTTCAAATAGACAAAAACTGAATGAAAGGTTATAATATACAGAGGATAGATTTGCTTGGTTACGTGACGATGAATTTGCCCGCCAAGCAATCGCCGGAGTGAACCCGGTTAGCATAGCGAAGCTTGAGGTTTTCCCACCGTTGAGTCAGCTTGACCCCGAAAAATACGGTCCACAAGAGTCCGCTCTCCGAGAAGAACACATTGCAGGATATCTCAACGGAATGACAGTACAACAGGTAACATTCTCGGTATCCTTTAAACGTGTTTAACTGTTTTCATATGACATAAAGTATGCCAATTGCCAAACTATCATGATGGACTGCTTTGTAAGACTTGAAATCCAAAGGGTCGAAGTACCAAACAATTGTCTGTCCTACTTAAAAGTGCTAAAGTAAGCTGTCAGGATGTTTTTGGACATTATAACAAGTTTTTTGAGACATTTTTGAAATAAAGTGTATTTATTAGTTTTTTTTCTAGAACTTTTTTAGAAGTGTTCTATGAAACAAATCCTTTTATATAAGATTTTTTTTCAAATAATGTCGTATAAAAAGACTAATTAGACATTTTGTTTCAAAAGTATCAAAAAATTTCTTAGAACACTAAAAAACGTCCTATCAACTTATTGTAACATTTTTACATAAGACAACAATTCTTAAACATATTTGACGTCTTATAAAGCAGAATGTGATTTTCGTGATAATTAGCGTATAATTTATTATTTTGGTGATGTTAACAGGCACTCGAGGAAGATAAGCTATTTATAATCGACTACCATGATATATATTTACCGTTTCTGGACCGGATAAACGCACTCGATGGGCGTAAAGCATATGCAACACGAACCATATTTTACTTGAACCAATCGGGCACCCTCATGCCTGTTGCAATCGAACTTAGCCTACCACAGGCGTTGCCGGGTTCAGAGTCAAAGCGGGTGGTCACACCACCAGTCGATGCCACCAGCAACTGGATGTGGCAACTAGCCAAAGCCCATGTGTGCTCAAACGATGCCGGTGTTCACCAACTCATTCACCACTGGTGACCATCGAAACCGAACCCTTTAGTTTCTAAATCTCATGGGTTTTTTGTTTTGCGTTTTCTTACCAAACTTTTCTTCGGAAACATAGGTTACGGACCCATGCATCTATGGAACCGTTTATATTGGCTGCACACAGGCAACTGAGTGCGATGCACCCGATATATAAGCTGCTGGACCCGCACATGAGATATACGCTCGAGATCAATGCGTTGGCTCGACAGAATCTCATCAATGCCGATGGCGTAATCGAAGCTTGCTTCACTCCTGGACGATATTGTATGGAGATGAGTGCTGCCGCTTACAAGAATTGGCGTTTCGATTTAGAAGGTCTTCCAGCGGATCTCATTAGAAGGTACCTGAATGATATATCCCATCTGGCTTTACTATAACAAGATCGGTTTAATAGGACGCTAAATGTGTATAAAAATATCCTAATAATACTGTTTTATAGGACGCCAAATATGTCTAAATATCCTAATAATATTGTTTTAATTTGTCTAAATATCCTAATAATATTGTTTTAATATATCTAAATGTCCTAACAATGGTATAATATTGTTTTATATGACTTATGTTTATAAGACCAAACAAATGTGCGTTCTATGTTCGGCAACATAACAAGTTTTTAGGACACTTTTGAAATAAACCATTGTATTAAATTTCGTTTTGCGTCCCTGTAGTTTGTTAAAAAGTGCTATTTTTCGTCCCTGCGTTTTTGAAGTTATGATCTATAATTCATTGCTATTTTTATCCTCATTTATTTATATTTATTGCTATTTTCGTTCTTGTAGTTTACAATTGTATGCTATTTTTAGTCCCTCGTACTTAAAAGGTAAGAGTTAGGTTCAGGGACGAAAATAGCAAGAATTTACAAGCCATGTTGACAAAAATGGTAATTTCAAAACCACAGGGACTAAATTCGCAATCTTTAACAAACCATAAGGACAAAAAACGTAATTTACTTTAGTCTTTTCATACGATTTATTGTCTTATATAAACAACTATCATATAAAAAGACATTATTCTGAGAAAAAGCTTATATTATCGTTTCTTAACATTTTATTGTAACACTTTTACACATGACGTTCAACTGTTTGGTCCTATGAGCTTTAAGTCTTATAAAGCAATTTATTTGAACATTCATATATATTCAACGAGTTTTAGACTCCCGTATTCAGTTCAAATCTGACAAAAACCGTTGATTTACGCAGAGGTATGGCTGTTCCGGACCCAAGCAAGCCGCATGGTCTGAAGCTCCTAATTGAAGATTACCCATATGCAACCGACGGGCTCTTGATATGGGAAGCCATCCAAAAGTGGGTTCAAACCTACGTGAACCGATACTACCCAGACTCGGACCAAATCTGCAACGACCGCGAGCTTCAAGCATGGTATGCCGAATCCATCAACGTTGGCCACGCCGATCTCCGCCATGAGAACTGGTGGCCGACATTAGCAAGTGCCGAAGACCTCACCTCCGTCCTCACCACCATCATCTGGCTCACTTCAGCACAACACGCAGCACTTAACTTCGGCCAGTACCCGTATGGCGGCTACGTACCCAACCGACCGACGCTAATGCGGCGGCTAATCCCCGATGAAAACGATCCCGAATACATAAGCTTTCTCGACGATCCACAAAAATACTATCTATCGGCTTTACCGAGCTTACTACAGTCAACAAAAATAATGGCGGTGGTGGACACGTTATCGACTCACTCGCCGGACGAGGAGTATATCGGCGAGAGACAACAAACGTCGACATGGTCCGGGGACGCGGAGACGGTGGAAGCGTTTTACGCATTTTCGGCGGAGATTCAACGGATCGAAAAGGAGATTGAAAAAAGGAACAATGATACAAGTTTAAGGAATAGGTGTGGTGCTGGGGTTTTGCCATATGAACTTCTTGCACCGAGCTCAGAGCCTGGAGTTACATGTAGAGGTGTTCCAAATAGTATCTCTATATGAAGTATGAACACCAATATTTTATATATATATATATATATATAATCAAGATGATTTAGATGCATATACTTGTAAACTTGTGGTTACTTGCTCAAATAATGTGGAAAATGGTTATTATATGAAAGCTATAAAATTGTTAATGAGTTGATGGGTGTGCATCTGGCAGTTTCGGGTGGACAAACCAGAAATCCGATCGGGTTTCAGATATGAAAACTACGCCCTAAATTTTGGGTTTTGTATTTTGGATTGCGTTGGGTTTCGGGTTGGAACGCTTGGATTCGGGTATAGTTAAATGCAATAAATATATATAGAGAGACTTGGGATCACGTGAAACCAACATGTTTTTGAGGGACTCGTGAGACCACATTTTTACACTTGAAACTTCACAGCAAAACCTGTGAAGGTTCGGGTTTTTTATCTTTAGGCTGATCTTACGTGAATCCAACTATATATATATATATATATATATATGTTCAATCGATATTGAGGATGAATTCAATCGATTAATTGGATTTAATGAAATGGATAGTAGGTTTAGATATATATATATATATATATATATATATATATATATATCGGGTTTTCGGTTAGTTTCGTGACCAAAAATCAAACCCAACCCGAACCCAAATATCCTCAAAAGTTGGGTTTCGGTTTTCAGGGTAGATGAGTACAAACCATAGACTTTTTTTTGAAAGGCAATGCACTAAATATAAAACAAAACACTGAATGAAGTTACAGGAAAGAACGACTAACGATTTTGCAAGAAGCAAAAAACACGACCAACCGACTACAAAGATGAAACAAGGAACCTTAAAGAGAAGCAAAAACACGAACAAAACCTACCGAAACAAAAGGCTACCAGAGACAAAAACAAAACAAGAGCACGAAGAAAATCCAACTGTTTATACTACTCTATGAAATTATCTATAGACTTTATCCAGATATTTACAAGGAAGCTTCTAGCTACACAAAGAGTAGATATGTATGGATCTTTCTAGCATATTTGCATATGGTTCTTTTTTCGATAGAATGAAACATCTCCAGTCAATTAAGGTTTTAAGTATAAAATTCTTTTGGGCACCTCCACTATTGCTGATCCAGTCCATTTGTGTTCCGTCTCTGCTTGTTTGGTTCTTCTTCATCTTTGTTATGACATTTCGTGGATCAGACTTTGCTTTTTCGGGTTCCTCGGAGAATCTTTTAGTGGGACGTGACAAAAATGCATCTATAGGTTATTGCTTTACCGATGGTGGCTAAATCATCCACACCTGTTTGAACTGGTTTGACTCGCAATCAAGTTAAGAATGTTGCATTTTAATTATACGGAGGCGGGCTATAATGCTGATCTTTTTATTGGTAAAACTTACAGTAAGAGATTTCATAAACAAATTCCAATCAGTGTTTAGTCAGCCAAACCTCTCATATCTGCTTAACATTTATCCACTTTATATCAGTAAACGATGTTTTGTAGTAATCGATTAATAAAAATGTAATTTAATTATTTTTATAATTATTTATAAATAATGAAATTCAATTTCATTTCAAACCGTACAAACCAAACATACCAATGACTTTAAATCCGTTCCAATCTAAATCCCTTCATGAAATTCAAATCCCTCAAAAAACAATCATGTAAACCAAACGGACCTTTATATGTTGATCATAAATTAAAATAATTATGCTTATAATTCGGAATAATATATTTATGATTAATAATTACATATATTAATTATTAAATTGCAAAATATGAGAAAAGGGGAAAAGAGACATGTCTTGATTTTTCATCATTTGTGATATTTAATTAAGTAATTAATTAATAGAAAATAATTATAAATATGCAATGAAATTTCTGTCCGTTGATAAATGTACAATTCGATCTCAATCGTTCAAAAGAAATTTTTATAAGATTGTTACATAATGAATAATTGTAAGATAAGATGGTATGAGAAATTGCATTCCGACAAATATAGCTTCGTATGAAACGAACTCAAAGCAGTTATGCAAACGCAATTGCTTTCCAAAAGAAAATTGTATATTCTATGTTACAAAATTAGAATTTACGACGTGTAACGATACATCTGTATTGATATCATGTAAGTCAATGGTCAAGAAATCATTTATATTGTATTAGTATAACTATTTATCCTGTTTACACCCTTAAATTATACTATATATATATATATATAGAGGAGTGATCATATGAAAATCATCCTCATTTGTGTAAACCGTGCAAACCACCTTCATCTGTCGATTTCATTGTTTAATCTTATGAATTTTTTTCATGAAATTGTTTAATATTGTGAAATTGTTTCATATAATACTTTTTTTGATGAAGTTGTTTCATATATGGTTGTGAAATTGTTTCATATAATACTTAATGAAACTGTTTCATGTATTTCTCTAAAATTAAAATTATGAAGATGATAATATCTATGATTAACACCCTCCACAATAAAAATGATTAACCAACCTCTCATAATTACAAAAAAATGAACAAAATGAAAAATTATGATTGATTGAATGCGGTTTGCACGGTTTGTACAAATTGAGTGGTTTGCATTTGATCGCTCCCCTATATATATATATATATATATATACATGTGTGTGGGGGGTCAAGTGAGACTATACTGTTTTCGTGAGACAACATTTTTACACTTGAAATTTTATAGTAAAACGTTGTGAAAGGTCAAAGAAGCCGAATATTCACAGCAAAAACACTGGGAATGTTACCTTTACAGCATTTTGTTGTGAAGTTTCAAGTGTAAAATAGTTGTCTCAAGGGTTTCACGAAAACAGATTGGTCGCACATGATTTCAAGTCTCTCTCTCTCTCTCTCTCTATATATATATATATATATATATATATTGGTATCACATAAGACCAATCTGTTTTTATGAGACCACTTTCTTACACTTGAAACTTCGCAGCAAAACACTATTATGAAGGTTTGGAGTTTTTTTTTACTTTTATAATGTTTTGTTGTGAAATTTCAAATATAAAAATAGGATCTCACAAAAACAGGTTTGTCTCACGTAAATTCAACCTTATATATAATCTACGTTTTACGATGCAATAAAGTGTGTTACATATATTATGGTGATTCAATAGGTGTATACCACCAATCAATGGTCAAAAACAACACTTGAAAACTGTATTGAAATTGAAGTGGTTAGATTTCCACTCAAAAGTTTGAAAATTCAATTAAAATAATGGAAAATAAATTGTAATATCTCACGTTATATCGCTTCATTTTAATATAATATTTTATTTTAATTTATATAATAAAAATTTATAATTTGTCAACCACGTCATAAATAACTACAATATTTATCAAATGATTCAAACGAAAATAATTTTCATTTAATAAAAATACGAAAATATATTTTTACCATAGCGAATCACATATGGTATATATTATTTGCTATACTAGAGTTACATATGACATTTGATGCGACCTAGGTTGTTGATTAAGGAGCCGTTTACCAAATACTTATCCGGTAAACATCTAGTGGTAAAATTTAACACTATCATTTACTAACGAGGTAAGATTTTAGTCAACAAAAAACGACTTTCTATGCAACGAATTATCCGGTAAGATCTGACCATGGTAAGAGTAATTGCCCCCACTTACCTCTATGTGCTTGTCTCGCTTTTACCAGATAAGATTCATGGTTCTTGTTTGTTTTTAATAAAAAAATCTCTTTATCAGCACCTTATGTTTGTATTTTAATATAATGTAAATGTCTTATTGAATGTTATATTCAAATAAAAACAAAACGACGCCTGAGAGATTCGAACTCTCGCGGGGAAACCCCATGTACTTAGCAGGCACACGCCTTAACCACTCGGCCAAAGCGTCTTTTGTGATCTGATGAGTGACGAAATAAATAAATATTATAATATAATATTTTTTATTTATTATCAAATATTAATTTAACTTTTTTGGGGCATAAAAGTATCCCTGAAAATACTATCTCATGGGTCTTTACCAAACTCTTATCAGATAAATGTTTGTCCGATAAATGCTTATCCAATTGCATTTACAGATATCAAAATGGATTATTAATAAGCATCTTTTACCAGATAAATGTTTATCGGGTAAAAAGTCTTCTACCTCATTTACCGGTTAAGATTTTTATGCTTTCTTATGTCTATTATAAGTATTTAGTAAACGGCTCTCAATTAAATTATATATTTTTTCTTTTTATTTATTTTTTTAATTAGTAATGCATTTGAAGTTTCATCCTTTCGGAAATTTATGGTATGTTGCTTTAAGTGGACGGTAGAAAATTACATGTATAAGATATATTATTCTATAATAAAACCGACTTAAATACATTATGAATGTTAGAGACGTACAAAAAAACGTAAACCCGAAACATTGGCCAAAGTCTAGACCAACCCAAGCCCGCATTTAATTTTTTTGGGTGTAGAGTGTTTCGAAGTCTGGTCCAAAACAAATCCAAAAACTTGACCTGGCCAAAATTTGTATACCTATACGGCTATACCTGATCTGGAAAAAAAAATCCAATTAAGTCAGGTCTAAAAAGTCGAATCAAAACATAAATTATAACCTAGTTAGGTTTGTTTAAACTATTTAAATTATATATGTGTGTGTGTGTGGAGACTTGAGATCATGTGAGACCAATGATTTTTCGTGAGACCCGTAAGACAAATTCTCAACTCTTGGATTAGATCTACAATCTGAACATTCATAATCACAATATTACCACGAGACTTTTCAATAATTACAAAATTGTCATCGTACAACTTTAGACCGTTAGATCATTAGCTTATAAAGTAAAGTTGATCAATGAACATAAATTGGTCTTACGGGTCTCACGAAAAACCATTGGTCTCACGTGAACTCAACCCTATATATATATATATATATATATATATATATATATATATATATATATATACATATATTGACTTGGGATCATGTGAGACCAATGGTTTTTCATGAGACCCGTAAGACCAATCCTCAACTCTTGGATTAGATCTACAATCGTCAAATCTGAACATTCATAAACGTCACGAGACTTCTCAATAATTACAAAATTGCCACCGTGCAACTTTAAATCACTAGATCATTAGCTTATAAAGTTGATCAATGAACAT